TCATAGAATCATAGAATGTATTGGGTAGGAAAGGGACCTTTAAAGATCATCTTGTCCACTCCCCCTGCAGTAAGCAAAGACAGTGTTTCTAGATCAGGTTGCTCAGAGCCCCATCAAGCCTGACCTATCCACTAGATCTAAGAGGAAGAAAGAGTGGATGAAACGTAACAGGGATCAACTTAAAGCTTCAAATAATCTTCCTTATCTTATATGGTGGCTTAACCTAGGCTGGCTGCCAGATGCCCACTCACCCAGCAGCTCTCTCACTCGTCCTCTTCAATAGGAGGAGAGGAGGAAGTGAGATAAAAAAGCTTGTGCGTTGAGATAAAAACAGCTGGCTGTAACCAGTTGAAACTGTCTGGAACCTGCTGTGTCTGGTATGAGGCAGTCCCCAGCCTCCTCTCAGAGATGGCATTCATGTGCCTGTGCCTGCACCTGCACCTTCAAAACCTTTCCTGTGACGCTCAATACACCTCAATAAAGCAGTATTCAAAAATTCAGTCACTAAGATCTATCAGAAAATATCTATAATTAGGCTCCAAAATTTCATGGCTTGTGTGTAATTTAAAACTAACTGTGCCTGAGCTTGAATTCAGAATAGATTCTTAACCTCCAAGCCATACAGAAATTTCTTGTTCATACTAGCACAGTGCCAGATCCAGGCTACTAATCTCTGCTGAAACACAAATGCAGTCATTTCGCTCTGGCTTTGGCACTCAGGCAACATCAGCTTTCTGTCTAGACTGCATCATGCAAACATATCTTTAGATACTACAAACTACAAAGCACAGTTTATGTTTTGTGCAAGTGAGCCAAGCAGATTTAGTCTCTGTGGGTGACACTTTGTGTTACATAAAAAAATCTTTACATTAAGTCTTCAAATGTTTATTCTCTACTGAGATAAATTCACAACTGCAGCTGTAAGCTCAGAGTTGGTATATACAAAATGAGGTTTTATGGAGATGTGCAAAACTTTTCAAAGGCATGTACTTCTGTTCACAAGAGGAGTCAAAGAGGATGCTAAAATTCACATGCAGTGCTACAGGCTTGGGGACAACTGGCTAGAAAGCTGCCTGGCAGAAAAAGACCTGGGGTTATTGGTTGACAGCTGTCTGAAAATGAGCCAGCAGTGTGCCCAGGAATAGTGTGATCAGCAGGAGTAGAGATGTGATTGTTCTCCTGTACTCAGCACTGCTGAGGCCGTACATTGAATACTACGTTCAGTTTTGAGTCCCTCACTACAAGAAGGACATTGAGGCACTGCAGTGTGTCCAGGGAAGAGCAACAAAGCTGTTGAAGGGTCTGGAGAACAAGAATTATGAGGAGCAGCTGAGGGAACAGGAACTGTTTAGTTTGGAGAAGAGGAGACTGAGGGGAGACCTTATCGCCCTCTACAGCTACCTGAAAGGAGGTTGTAGTGAGGTGAGTGTTGGTTTATTCTTCCATGTAGCTAGTGATAGAACAAGAGGAAATGTCCTCAAGTTGTTCCATGGGAGGGTTATATTGGATATTAGGAAATATTTCTTTACTGAGAGTGGTCAAACACTGGAAGGGGCTGCCCAAGGAGGTGGTGGAGTTGCCATCCCTGGAGGTGTTCAAAAAGTGAGTGGATGTGGCACTTCAGGACATGGTTTAGTATGCATAATGGTGTTAGGTTGACGGTTAGACCTGATGACCTTAGAGTTCTCTTCCAACCTTAATGATTCTATGATTCTGTGACATTTACAGATCTGATCAGTATAGGCTGTTGAATGTGCTTACCCTTGGTACAGTAGTTATGTGGTACCTACTGGTAGTGACGGTACAGACAGAAAACTTGGATAATAAAAAGCAAATTACATATTATTGAAATCTGCCTAGTTATCTGTCCAAGGCAATGAATCAAAATAAGGCAGTGAAGGCTACTTTGAAACAAAAGGCATAACCCAAAGGTCTAAAGGAAATTTAAAGCTCCAGACTTTTATATCTTACATCCAGCAGCTTTTGGAACTCAGTTCTCAAATAAAAAGAGAGAGCCACAAAGAAGTGGGAAAAAGCTGTTATAAGAGACCTTTGCCAGGTTAGTTTCACTCCTTTGGACAAGGCTTCTCTCTGTTTTGGTTGCTATGATGCATAGGACCCAACAGCAATAAGATAGACCATGTGTGATACAACCTGGTTGCAAAGTTCATCCCATAATGGGAAATGGGATCATAACGTACCTGAACTACAGTTACTGTGAGCTGCCAGGGCAGGCTCAGTGGGTACATATTATTGTCAAAACAACTCAAAATACACAGGAACTTCCCATTCCACCTGGAGAGAGCAATAGGTATGTTTTACAGCTCGGTTTCGGTGTAACATTTATATTGTGACATTGGCCTTGCTTGTAGAATGGTCATTATGATTTTGAATCAGGAGATGAAGGAATAAAATTGCCAAAAAATTTTTGCTTAATGTTGACCTTCAAATAAGCACAAAGAAGAATGGTGTTAAGGCATTCATGTAATGGATTTTATTATATTTACTTATACTTCTAGAAAATACTAATAGACTATAGGTATATGAAAATAGCAACCCAAAACAACAGAGATTCCTGGCCCCAACCAACAAAAAGTGAAAGGAAAAAAAAGAGTAAACGAAGTCACCTGAGTATACAATGATGTAATTTTACTGATCTTTTCATGTTTCTAAAGAATCATGCTTTGCGTTGCAATAGATTTTTAGTTTTAACATTTATTTTACAGTTAGAAAAAGAACAACAGCAACGAAAAGATTTCTGAAATACTGAATCACAGAATATTAGGAATTGGAAGGGACCTCAAAAGCTCACCCAGTCCAATCCCCCTGCCAGAGCAGGATCACCAGACCAGGTCACACAGGAACACGTCCAGGCGGGTTTTGAATGTCTGCAGAGAAGGAGACTCCACAACCTCTCTGGGCAGCCTGGGCCAGGGCTCTGTCACCCTCACAGTGAAAAAGCTTTTCCTTATGTTTAGGTTGAACCTTCTATGCTCCAGCTTGCTCCCATTACCCCTTGTCCTGTCATTGGACATCACAGAGCAGAGCCTGGCTCCTTCCTCCTGACACTCGCCCTTTACAAATTTATAAACAGGAATGAGGTCTCCCCTCAGTCTCCTTTGCTCCAAGCTAAAGAGCCCCAGCTCCCTCAGCGACTCCTCGTAAGGGAGATGCTCCACTCCCTCCATCATCTTTGTGGCTCTGCACTGGACTCTTTCAAGCAGTTCCTGTCCTTCTTGAACTGAGGGCCCAGAATTGAACACAATATTCCAGATGCGGTCTCACCAGGGCAGAGTAGAGGGGAAGGAGAACCTCTCTGCCCTACAACCACCCCTCCTGATACACCCCAGGATGGCGTTGGCCTTCTTGGCTCAAGGGCACATTGCTGGCTTATGGTCATCCTGCTGTTCACCAACAGCCCCAGGTCCTTTTCTGCCTGGCAGCTACAACCACTCGTCCCCAAGTCTGTAGCGTCCATGGGGTTATTGCGACCCAACTGCAGGACCCAGCACTTGGCCTTGTTGAAGCTCACACAGTTGGCCTCAGCCCATGGATTCAGCCTGTCCAGGTCCCCCTGCAGAGCCTTCCTACCCTCAGGCAGATCAACACTCTCTCCCAACTCAGTGTCATCTGCAAACTTACTGAGGGAGCACTCAATCCCCTCATCCAGATCATTGATAAAGATGTTAAACAGGACTGGCCCCAAAACTGAGCCCTGGGGAACACCACTTGTGACTGGTCACAACTGGATTTATCTCCATTCACCACAACTCTCTGTGCTCCCATCCAGCCAGTTTTTGACCCAGTAAAGCGTGTGCCCATCCAAGCCATGCCCAGCAGCTTCTCCAGGAGGATGCTGTGGGAGATGGTGTCAGGCCTTACTAAAATCCAAGTACACAACGTCCACAGCCTTTCCCTCATCCACTAAGCAGGTCACCTGAAGTGCCTGAAACAAATTCAGATGTGACTTTATAAGTAAGTCTTCAGTAAACGAGGCTTTTGCATTTTCTCTTTGAAACAATGCAGTGAAAGGGGAAGAAATCGTACAACCATCGTCCTTCATGTGACAATAATAAATCTGATTCTATGGCAGCCAAAACAAGTTCTTTAAACTGTGCCTTGCTAGAACTAATAAGAACTGAATAATACAGACAAAGACAGAAGATAATTTTTCTGTTCACCATTTCCATGTAACTCCATTGTTCCCAGTGTTTTTTTTCTAGCAACTGTGCCTCATCAGTCTCAGCTGTTGGTTTCAGTATCTGTTTTCCTAGTGTGATGTAGGACATTAACTGCTGCTTCTAGTGAAACCAAAATGACATGACAGGAAGAACATTAAACTGATCTTTTAATTTCATCTCCAAAGATGAAAAGTAAACACAGCATGCTCATGCATGACCTCCTGTAGGGATATTGTGCTGAAGGCATCTGAAGAATTAAGACTGAATCTGTTTTAGTGAGGCACAGAGTCCTATTTGCTATTCCACGAAAGCATTTTCACTCACTGTCTAGAATTCAAAGCAGCTCCAGACAAGAGCCTGGAAAGTTTGCAAGCTCGCCAAAATCTTCATAGTGAAATAGAGAGATGTTACAGAGTTATACACACTTAGATACACACAAAGCACCTCCCTGATCAAATAGCGTGAGAAAAAATAATCTCAGCTGCATAGGATTTCAAGATGTTAATCTGAAGACAGTTTCAGGAAAATGGCTCTTTGTCAGGCTTCCTTGACAGAGATACAGAGAGAACAAATGCATGAACCAAATGTTCCTGTTGTGCTTGTGATTTTATACAGAAACTTCTCTTTTGTGATTTCGCACTGTTAAAAGGCAATTTATACATGCGTTTATCTGGTGGCAGATGCTGTCATCTGACTTTAGTGCCTTAATCTGCTACTGAAAACAGCTTTATTTTTCTCTTTCTGATACAAAATAACAAGGTTGCGTTTGTTGTGTGCAGGTCTCTCTCTGTGTTAAAACAAGTTATTTTAACATTGCAGATCTTCCAACTATTGGCTCAACCGCATCCAGTCCTTTCTCTACTGCAATGAAAATGGCCTTCTGGGAAGCTTTTCTGAAGAAACTCACACGTGCACCTGCCCTAACGACCAGGTTGCCTGCCAGGGGTTCCTTCCCTGCACGGTCGGCGATGGCTCTGCATGCTTGAGCTGTGCTCCTGACAATCGTACCCGGTGTGGGAGTTGCAATGCCGGCTACATGCTGAGCCAGGGGCTTTGCAAGCCTGAAGTGGCAGAATCAACAGAGCACTACATTGGGTTTGAGACTGACCTTCAGGATCTGGAAATGAAGTACTTATTGCAGAAGACAGACCGGCGAATTGAGGTCCATGCCATTTTCATCAGCAACGACATGCGCCTCAATAGCTGGTTTGATCCTTCTTGGCGCAAGCGGATGCTCCTTACTCTTAAGAGTAACAAGTACAAGTCTAGCCTGGTCCATATGATATTGGGCCTCTCTCTTCAAATTTGCCTAACTAAAAATAGCACCTTAGAGCCCGTTCTTGCTGTTTACGTCAACCCTTTTGGGGGCAGCCACTCTGAGAGCTGGTTTATGCCTGTGAATGAAAATAATTTCCCAGACTGGGAGCGGACTAAACTGGACTTACCCCTTCAGTGTTACAACTGGACGCTGACTCTGGGCAACAAGTGGAAGACATTTTTTGAAACTGTACACATCTATTTGAGGAGTCGAATAAAGTCAAATGGTCCAAATGGCAATGAGAGCATCTACTATGAGCCCCTGGAATTTATTGATCCCTCAAGAAATCTAGGCTACATGAAAATCAATAACATCCAAGTGTTTGGCTACAGCATGCATTTCGACCCAGAAGCAATTCGAGACTTGATTTTGCAGCTGGATTACCCCTATACTCAGGGATCACAGGACTCGGCACTTTTGCAGTTGTTAGAGATTCGGGATCGTGTAAATAAACTCTCTCCACCTGGTCAACGTCGTCTAGACCTCTTCTCTTGCTTGCTCCGTCATAGACTCAAACTGTCTACCAGTGAAGTGGTGAGGATTCAATCTGCTTTGCAGGCCTTTAATGCCAAATTGCCAAACACAGTGGATTATGACACAACCAAATTATGTAGTTAACCATAAATGTGAAGCACAACACAAAACCTTGAAGGAGTTTTTACAGTGCTTTTGTGGAACAGTTTATGTTTGGAAGAGTAAATTTAAATTGTCTTTTCAATATCTGTCTTATATCAGTCAATACTGTTGGATGGCAATTTACACACATGAACTTGCTGACAATGAATATATTATACCTGCAGTTTTGATTTATGAATGAAATAAATACTGACACCAGTCTAGAAGACATTCTACTTTTTACAATAAATTTCATTTGTAATTTTATATGTTCCGTGGCAATGCTTTTGTGCATTACATCCTCTAGAGGGAACATAGAAGGATACCAATAAAATTTTGTAGCTGAACAGTTATTAAAAAGAAATGCTGTGGGATTCTTTTTTCTTACACAAAAGTAGTAACCCTGATACACTTTTGTGTGTGTTGTACGCAGGAGGTGTAGGTAAAGAGACAATAGCGACTGAAGATTTTAACAGAAACTAGAAAAGTCAAAGCCATAAGATATTTTATTCTTGGGATGTGGATCTAAATGTTCATGCTGAGCTGAAGTGACAACTGTAGTGATGCTTTACTTGCTACACTTGAGGCTTTCTGAAGTTATGCCCTTTTCAAGCTGCTTAACATGACATACAGGCTCCCAGAGTGGTAATATTGAGTGTTTTAGGATGGACAGCAGGTTAGTATTGTGAGATGCACAGTAATGAAAGGTTGCATTAGCTCAATAGGAGTCAGATGAGAGGCTGTCTTTGTAACCGATGTTACTCAATTTACAATAGAAACAACCTTTGCCAGCCAAAGCACTTTTTGAAAGTCTCTCTAATCCTCTGCTTTGCATATGTATAGAAAGAATTAAGCCCATGTATGCATTTCCTTCTCCCTACACACACTAAATATTTATCTAGAATTATCTGTTTTGAACTGTTTACCTAAACACCATCTGTGCTTATTAGATTCAAATTAATTTTAAAAATTTCCCTGCATTGTCATGCAACTGTTTAGTATGTGGATACTTTTTTCATTGGTACAGAAAATATCCTTTCAGAGCAAGATTATTCAGTTTTAAAAAACATACCCTTTTACAGGTACGTGACAGATATTGAAATCTAGTTTATAAATCTGAAAGTGCAAATAAATATGTCATTATCAATTACTAAAATTAATTAAATGTACATGACTGTGGATCAGAATTAGATTCTTTGCGATTTTGCACATTCCAAGAGAAAAAATACATCTAAAATGACAGAACTTGGGGCTTGGTAGGAAGGTTTTCCTACCTCTTGCAAGAGAACAGAACAAATGGCTTGGTTATCAGAAGGTTTTGGTTGTAAATACAGGGTAAAGTGGAGGAAATCGATACAAAGTCTTTTAGTAGCACCTTCTTAGGTTAAGTCTGAATCTGTGCCATCGATGTAAAATGTAACTTGTCTTTTAAAACGGGAAAGAATTACACATACAACTACCATTCTATATGCAAGCACAGGAAGAAAAAAAAACCCCGTATTAAATTAATATACAGTTTTAACTCAACTAGACTTCAACTAATTTCAATTAAATTCAATTTTATCAATTTAAACTTAGTTATGTTACAATTCAATTCTGAATTGTGGCCTAATCTGAATTCAAGGTATATTTTTCACTTCTCCTCTGGCTAGTCTACAGCAGCACAAGAAATGAAATGGTTCATAAATACACGTAAGCAAAAAAAAAAAAGAAAGGCCAAAAGCACTTCAGAAAGCCTACTGCCAAGGAAAACCTTCTTTTCTATAGCGATTCCTGTCTCTCCTGATTTCACCAAATATTATAAGCGTTACCACTTCACCACCGCACATTTGATAATTCCTCAGATTTTCTACACTAGAAAGCCCCTCAGAACTAAAATTAGTATTTTTTTCTTGTAATCAACCTTTAGATGAATTCTTGTTTGTTTTTATACTTACAGCTTTCTTATACTGATAAAGAACATATCTCAGACCCTCTTGTATCTATCAAAATTTTGGCTTCCTCTTGCATTGGTAAGACCTTCTCAGTTAAGATACTTACTACTCCTATTTTCATCTCCCAGTCTTTCTTCTGGTATGTCTTTGACAACCATAATAAGTTATAGGATTAGATAGTTAATTAGTTAGATTTTGCTACTCAGTACCTTCTGTAGTCTTTTTAAATAAACAAAAGTCTATGATGTTACAAAATGAACAAAATGCAAAAAAATCCTCTTCTGTTCATAGAAAGCAGAAGTTACAATAGAAATGTTGAACCATGATAAATAAAGCATTTGCTTATGTTATTCCTTCACTAGGGAAAAATAGAAATACGTCACAGTAAATAATCTGAAGGGTTCCCCCCCTTTCTTTCATGCTCCTTTCTAAAATAGTTCCTCAATGACTGTTTTCAATTTCTGGGTCTGGTTTTTGTTTGATTGTTTGTTTGTTTATTTTAAAATATCTTTCTCTGCCGAGATGGAAAGTTCTTTGCTATGCTGAAATATGCACAAGAGAATGTACAAATAATAAGAAACCAAAGGAGGTTTCAGTGAGACATAATTTAATTATCATGCAGCACAGTAAGTGTATTTGACTGGGCTAGTGGAAAACCCTTGTCATTACTGTATCTTTGTGCCAGATTAAAAGTGTGATACAACTTTCCTAGCCTGCTAGTCATGGACTAGTTTTGCACTTTGGAACCTGCGGAATCTTGAAATAGTGAAGGTTTCTAATTTACAGATACCAGATTCCATTAAGATAAATATAAAGAGAAAAAAAAAGTGAATAATGGAAAATAACAAAAAGCTACAGGACTTCTGTGGTTCTCAGGTTACAAACAGGAGCAAACAGTATTTCCCCTTTGATACTTTTCAATTTGAAATCTTTTTGTGTTCTCAGAAAGAACTTCAGGGTGTGTAAATAAAAAGAGAAGTCTTGGATAAGTCAAACCAGTCAAGGACTTGAACCATAAAAATATTTTGTAATAAGATACAAACAAAACTGAAGGGGAAGAAAGAACTGTGGCTACATCTATGTGCACTAATTTCCACCTGGACATTGCAGATAATACTCAGTGTATGTGGACCTGGGATCTTGACTCTGGTTTTTTTGCTGTCCATTTCCCATTGCATTCACTAATGTTGTTCTTAGTTGCCCATATAAACTAAAAAAATCCCAGAGGAAATGATGGTAATATATGGAACTGTACCATAACAGCCTAAAACAGGATTCGGAACAAATCTTAGTGACTACAATTATAATAACCAGGTATCTATTAATTATAACATAGTAACCTTCCTGCTTAAGTGAAGGCAACTGTTGTCTGACACAAAACACTATTTCCAAAACACTCTTTTCCAAGCAAATACAATTCAGACCATGTCTAAAGGCTGGGAGCCAAACTAATGTCTAGAAATTCTACTGCAGGAACAAGCTGTAATAAGGATGAGCCACATTATCACTGCCTGGAAACTAGGTTTGCCAGTGTGATCTAAACCTCTGGGTGACACTGTTCAGAATACAGAGAATACATTTCTCTGAAAAAGTAGAGGCAGAAAGAAAATGTGTTCAAATTGTAGCAGCTGAAGGTGGGGAGAGGTGTAGCTGCATTTCAGGGTGTTTCTTCCTTTGCCACAGAACCGTTATATCTGTACGAATATTTGGAGGAAGAGCCTTTGTTTCCAAAAGTATGCATATGCTGACTGCACGTATTGTGAAAGTGCTTATTCAGCAGATATTTCAAGTCAGTGAAGAGGCAAAAGCCAAGAGAAGTCAGTTTTTCCAAGGCTGAGTAAGCAGCCAGGCTGCTTGAACAGGAGAGAGGACAGAGACATGAAGGAGAGTGCTACAGTTGTCAATAGGGCAATTGCTTGAAAATACAGCACATATTCCAGGTACAAAGCAAATCAGAGCAGAGCACCAAGGAAGAAGAGTGATCAACATCCACATGACTACTCTACTGAGCTACAGCTACACTTTGAGTCCTGCATGGCAATAGAGCTGTGACAGCAAATAGATAAATGTGATATGGTGAAGGATCAGTCTTTTACAATCCAGCAACTATTGTTTCTTTGACAGGTAGAAGACAGAATTGGAGCTATAGCTTGTGCTAGCACAGTCTTTGTTATAACTGGGAGCATGATCTAGATGGTGCAGCAGAGACTCCTGCCAAGATAGCGAGAATGCAGGTGGGAAGCCAGAAAAAAGTGGAGAGAAGAAAGGAACAAGGATCTCATTTTAGTAGGCTTTTAAACAAGTGGAAGGGAACCTCTATGTCCCATTGTATTTGAAACAAGAGACCAAGATCAGTGGAAGGAGTTTGCTAAAAAGAAATGTCATTGTCGTGGTTTAATCCCAGCCAGCAACTACAGGCATCTTACAGCTGCTCACTCCTCCCTAGTAGGGTGGGAGAGAGAATCAGATCAAAAGTGAGAAAACTCGCAGGTTGAGCTAAAGACAGTTTAATAAGTAAAGCAAAAGCTGCGTGCACAATCGAAGAAAAACAAGGAATTCATTCAGTACCTCCCATTGGCGGGCAGGCGTTCAGCCGTCTCCAGGAAATCAGGGCTCCATCACACATAATGGTCACCTGGGAAGACAAATGCCATAACTCCAAATGTCGCCTCCTTCCTTCTTCGTCTCCCAGTTTTATATGCTGAGCATGACATCATATGGTAGGGCATATCCCTTTGGTCAGTTGGGGTCAGCTATCCCAGCTGTCCCCCCTTCCAACTTCTTGTGCACCCCCAGCCCACTCGCTGGTGGGGTGTTGTGAAGTACAGGAAAGGCCTTGACTCTGTGTGAGCACTGCTCAGCAATACTGAAAACATCCATGTGTTACCAACACTGTTTTCAGCACGAATCCAAACATACCCCATATGAGCTACTATGAAGAATAACTCTACTCCAGCCAAAACCAGCACAGTCATGGCTCCTTTTTCATGAGAATAGGTGACATGAGAGACCTTGACACCACAGCTAGTACAGTGATATCACTGCCACACACAGTTTATTGAGACATGCAGCACAGGCAGTTTGTCAGGTTGCATGATTGACTTTGGGTCTGTTCACTCAGCTTCATATTCTAAGCAAGAATCACAGAATCACAGAATCACAGAATCGCTCGGTTGGAAAAGCCCTCTGAGATCATCATGTCCAACCGTTCCTGTCTACCCCCTAAACCATATCCTTAAGTACCTCGTCTACCCGCTCTTTAAACACATCCAGGGATGGTGACTCCACCACCTCCCTAGGCAGCCTGTTCCAGCTTCTGACGACTCTCTCAGTAAAGAACTTCCTCCTTATCTCTAACCTGAACCTCCCTTGGCACAGCTTGGTGCCATTTCCCCTTGTTCTATCCCCCATCACCTGGG